GTTTTGGTGATTTTAGCTTACTCCAATGCAAAGGAGTAATGCTGTGGTGTCAGAATTTGGAAGTGCAGTATAAATTTCCTTCTCTCCAATTTTCCACTTGTATAATCTCATGATAAGGTTTTGTGATCCATAAGCGCTGAATAAATCTCTTAAAAAAACTTAATGTTAGTGCCTTCATGTCACGGTAATGATAATTTATAACTGTGAAAATTGGAGACACTGTCAATCTGGATGAACAAAGCTTCAAATACACCTTTGGGGGAAAAAATGTTGTCCTAAAAACTGTGGTACGTGCAATGGGTATACTCACGTATAGCAGGTCATCCTAAAAGATGTTTGTAGTGAGGATACAGAAGATCTGCATAAGGATCTAATTCTTTCTCCTCCACTATGGTCTACATGCTTTTCCCTCTTGCAAAACAATCATAGTCATATTTCTGGGTTTTTTCTTATCTTTCACTGATGCAGATTATAGTGCCTGGGTCTAAATTCCTAGACACAACCATTTTAGAATATCGGTCTCTATATTGAAGTTAGAAATGTCAGAAAATAAGTACATTAAATGTTCTTTGTTCTGCTAGTAAAAATAGAATATGCATATAAATGCTTATAAGCCCCTTATTATTTTAAAATTATGAAGCTGAGCTTGTAAAAAAGAAGGTCTCAGGCTAAGACTGCAAGAAAAGGAGAAAAAATAACTTTTATGTTGTATTTTTATTTTCCTATACTTGTAAAATAAACTTAATTTTAAAAGATGTAGTACTCCAATTGCCATGATTTAGTTTTCCTTATACCTCTCCTGGCTTCTTTGTGGGATTTTTTTGGTCATCTTTATATGTTTTTCCATATTCTTTCCTCCTTTCCTTCTTTTCCACTTACACAAGGCTGAAACACCACACAAGACAGTTGAGAACACTGTCAGTTAATGTCTTCTGCAAGGTACCATGAACTAGGTGTATTTCACCTAATTTGCAGGAGTTTTTTTGGTTTAATTTCTTTATTTGTCTCTTCCCAACTCCACTGTCTTCATTTTCCTTTTTTCCCAGGACCTTAACTCCATTCTTGTTATTCAACCCTCCTCCAGGGAAATTCAGCTGTCCTGAGCAACAAGAAAAAATCTGTCCTGATGCTGCTTGCAGAAATACAAAAAGGCTGTACAGAAAATGTGCCCAGCAGCCCAGTCATTTGTGCCAGACAGTAAGACTCATATCACCCCACTCCAACTGTAAGCAGCAGCCAATATCCTACACTTTGATAAAATAGGGATCATCAGCTTAGAAGGACAGACAGCTGTGGCCTCTGTCCCATCCGCTAACCAGCACAGCAGGGAGTAATATCTCCTCCCACCATAAGGTCTTTAAGACATTACTACTTTACTTGCAGCCAGAAATTCCCTTCTGCTGAATATTGCATCTTCCTTGGGGATTTTGTTCTACTTATGGCATTCTGTCTCTTAACCTTTAGCAGGTTGCCACAAAGAATATTCTTACGTGAAACTTCAGAGTGGTACCAAGAATGTGTAAGAAAAGGAAAGAAGACTAAAAGGATACTTAGTATCTCATTAAATGTATCTCATTTTATAGGGTGTCCTTCAGAGAATGATCCTTCTGAGAAGTCCAGTTGTGTCCCTTATCCCTGCCCCATCCCCACCACATTCTTAACAAGCATTTGATAGTAGTTTTAACCTGTGGCTTACCTAAAAATAGTTTCCAATCTCAAGATAACACCTTTTCCTCCCACCTACACACACACACACACATACACACATGCATATGTACACATGGGCACAGTTTTTCCTGTTTCCATGGAAACCCCACTGGAAAATGTTTACATGCCAACCATGTCAGAGGTAACTTTTCCATGGAAATATAAGAAAATTTGTATGTCGTAGAAGGTTGACACATAGGCTTCATTGTTTTCATTGGATTTAATCTGCGTACCGGAGCAACAGTCTGGTAGAGCATTTTTTGCCTTCCCCACCAAAGAGCAAGGACAGAGTGGTGGTAGGGACATAACTCCCCTGCCCTAGAGTACTAATTTTGTTTGCATCAGATTAGTATGGTGTGAGTGGGAATAACATTGCATTCTCCATCTCAGGGTATTATTCTGGGCTATCTTAAACTTCTATTTCATAGAGACAGAGTGGAGAAGATTAGAGCAGCATTTGTTGTAAGGCCATGATGTATTCTGGTATCCCTAGTATTTGTTTGATTCATCATAAAAAAGTTATTTTCCTAAACCAAAATATTTTTTCAGTTGCCACAGTCAGTCTAAAGTAAATGTCTGCATCTTGTTTGCTGGTATAGCTCTTTGTGACTTAAAGAGAATGATGCTGCTGTGAAAAGGAATTGATCTTTATATTTCCAAGGCTATTCAGCTGCCTATTCCACATTTTTTTCTGCTGTTTAGCAGTTTGACTTACTTGAAAACTAAGATATTGAAAAATGGCATGAAGACAAAGGCTTATTCTTCAGAATTATCTCCGTCGTACCATAGCTGTTATATCTTCTGGTGGGCTGACTGCAGTTTTGACTATTACATTCTGAGTATTACTTTTCAAATTCCCCAGAGAGTGCTAGCAGTAACATGGGCATAAAAATTAGCATATAAGCTCTGGGAGCTGTGATTTTACCTATTTGTGCAAGATCCCAAGAGAACACAAGCAGCAATAGCAGAATCTGGACCAAATATCTACCTGAGCCTTTCTCCTTCCCATGAGGTTCACTCATAAGGTAGCTCCTTTCACTGAGTTCACAGTACAGCAAGGATTAGCACAAATTAGCTGCCCTAAGGAGAATATCCAGATATACCGAATGCATTCTGAAAGCTCAGGGATTTAACTTTACTCCCTTCTTGAATTTTACTCAAGAGTTCGTGAGGAAGGATGTTGCTTTCTGTCTTAGTTACCCTGTAGAAATTACATACTGCTGTACTAGCTTACTATTTCACCTTTTTTCACATAGTTTTTTCCAAATGAGAGGTAGGAGAAGATAAATGAGTGATTCAGCTTACAGAAAAGAAACATAAAGCAGAGATTTGAGGCTGTTCACAGTAGGGCTCCAATTCCCTATACTCTCTGCCTTTCTAGTGGAATAAATTAATGTGAGACTTGCCCTCCTAAATAAACCAATTAACCTCAATTCTGAAAATCACCAAATACCTCTGGGACAGGGAACATTTGAGATAGCATAACTTTTTCTTGATTCACTCATTGTGAGAAGCTGGGTTGTACAGAGCTCATTTCCAACAAAAAAAACCCAAAAAAACCCCACCACCACCACCACCAACCAAACCAAACACAAACAAACAAGGAAAAAAAAAAAACCGTGCACAGTCTTTTGCAGCCCTATCAAGTAAAAGAAGAAATTGTCACTTCAGAGGTCGTGCAATATCTGTACTTTGACATAAGCAAATTGAACTGCAAATAGTCCCTGTCTTCAGTTTCCTTTCTTCTGGACTCCTAATGCTAATTCTTTATTATTAGTTGTATCAGCAGTCAGAATGCACAAGCATGAGAATTTACAGATTAGCTCTTCAGCTTAGTTGGACTAGCAGAATAATTCTCAGAATATGGTATTTATAGTTTATATGCTATGGCTGTTATACAGTACAGACTAGCTGGTGAACAGTGGCAGATTTGCTATTTCTGGTAAGTTTGAGGTGGTTTTTTGTACTTCTTTTCCATTTTGTCCTACCATCAGGAAAAAAAAGTGTAAAATTCTGTTTAACATTGTGCCAGAAAAGCAATTGTTTTTCCTAAAGTAATATGAGTGTAAACCTCCATGGAGACACTGATTTTCTGATGTTTGCTAGAAGGAGTGACTACCTTGTGAATTTGGAATTTGCTATAAGCTGTTGTTTATAAACAAAATAGTTGTGGATGAAAATGTCACCATATATTTGCACTGTATATATAATGTGAAACATGCCATCATTTCCTCTGTTTGGAAAAATTTACTGGGAAATTGGAAAATCGTGTGGGTTTAGATTAGATATTTAGGAGGATATTGTTTACTGTGAGGTTGCTGAGGCACAGCTCTAATGCAGCTGTGTCTAAACCTTTAATGATTGGTTAAGTGATGAGGAACACAAGTTATCCTGTATTTCTCCAGTTGCAGGGAATGATGAGGGACAAAACAGGAAGACTCAGAAGATCAGTAACTGACTCCAAGAGTGGTCTCACCAGCAGAATTTAGGGTTTTTTATCATGCATTGGTTTAAACAACACTGGGCCTGCTGGTGAGAGACAGGATATATCTGTTTCAAAATGGCAAAAGGATCAGAGTTAGCAGGGCTCATTGAAAGAGCTTTAAACTGCATTTGAAGGAAGAAAGGGATAAAACCAGGCACGCTAGAGATAGGCGTAAGGGTGGCACACCAGTGTTTCAGGGACAGCGTGCTAGTAAGGTCCTTCAGTCTGCTCCATGATGTGCTGAGTACACCAGAGCACATTTCAGATGTCCCTGTACTAATTCACACAGCATCTTAGCCATCTCAGTGGAGTTAGTGGATGAAGATCCACACATCATCAAAGACATAAGCATTGTCAATCCATAAAGAACAATGGAACAGTCACATAGTAATTAAGGCTTCTTCCTCCAAAAATGGGACAGGACTGATAGCCCAACTAAAGTGCATATAAAGCCATTTTGCAGATGGAAAACTGTGATATAATTACAGTAACATAAAGATGGTGGGCTTACTTACACAAATGGAGTGATGCAATAGATGGCTATAAACTCTTTGGAAGGCATAGGCAAGGAAGCAGAGCTGGTGGGGTAGCCCTGTATGTTAGGGAGTGTTTTGGCTTTCTAGAGTTTGATGATGATGATTAAAAGGTTAAGTATTTATGGATAAGGCAAACAAAACAGATATCCTGATGGGAGTCTGGTATAAACCATCCAACTAGGATGAAGATGCAGACAAAAATATGTTATAAGCAGCTGGGAAAATCTTACGATTGCTGGACCTTGTTTTTGTGGGGGACTTCATCTTACCAGATATCTGCTGGAAAGACAACACAGCGGAGAGGGAACAGTGCAGGAGGTTTCTGGACTGTGTGGAAGATAACTTTGTGACACACAAAGCCAGGGAAGGTGCCCTGCTCTACCTGCTGTTTGTGAACAGAGAAGAGTTAGTGGGAGATGTGGTGGTCAGAGGCCATCCTGGGCACAGAGACAAAGAAATGAATAGTTTTCCTTTTCAGAGCACTAAGGGGGAGGGGACCAGCAGAACTGCTGCCTGGACTTCCAGAGGCCAGACTTTGGCCTATTTAGGAGACTGGTTGCCAGAGTTCCCTGGAGGGCAGTCCTCATGGGCAAAGGAGTCAAGGAAGGCTGGACATTCTTCAAGAAGGAAACCTTAAAGGTGCAGGAGCAATCTGCCCACATGTGCTGAAAGATGAGCTGGCTGGGAAGAAGACTGGCCTGGCTGAACAGAGCTTTGGTTGGAACTCAGGAGAAAAAGGAGAGTTTATGACCTTTGGACGAAGGGACAAGCTCAGGAGGACTACAAGAATTTTGTGAGGTTAGGCACGTAGAAAATTAGAAGGACCAAAGCCCAGCTAGAACTTGATTTGGCTTCTAAAGTTAAAGACAATGAAAAATGTTTCTACAAATACATCAGCAACAGAAGTAAGGCTAAGGACCATCTCCATCCTTTATTGGATGCGCGTGGAAACATAATGACAACAGATGAGGAAAAGGCTGAGGTACTGACTGACTGCCTTTTGTGCCTTTAATAATAAGACCGGTTGTCCTCAGAGTACCCAGCCCCCTGAGCTGGAAGACAGGGATGAGGAGCAGAATGAAGCCCTCGTAATCCAATTGGAAAAGGTTAGGGAAAGTGGACCTGCTACACCACTTAGACACACACAAGTCTATGGGGCCGGATGGGATCCAACCAAGGGAGCTGGCAGAAGAGCTCACTGAGCCACTTTTCATCATTTACCAGCAGTAGTGGCTAACTGTGGAGGTCCTAGTTGACTGGAGGTTGATAAATGAGATGCTCATCTACAGGAAGGGCTGGAGGGAGGATCTGGAGAACTAAAGGCCTGGCAGTCTGACTCTGGTGCCAGGGAAGGTCATGGAGCAGATGATATGCGATGATATGCATATGCGATAATATGGCATATGCAGGACAACTTGGGGATCAGGTCTAGCCAGCGTGGGTTTGTGAAAGGCAGGTACAATATGACCAACTTCTTCTCTTTCTATGATGAATTGACACACTTAGTAGATGAGGGAAAGGCTATAGGTGTTGTCTGCCTGGACCTCAGCAACTATTGAATTTTCATCATACAGACTAAAATAAATCAAAACTATAGTTGAAGTATTAGTTTCTACAAATTGTGATAATGCATATTCAGTATGTACATTGCAGATAGGCTGAGCCGCTGACAGTGCACATAATCTCTGCCATAAATCTGTGCTGAGTCATTTTCTACCACTGCTGCTTAGTCCACAGCATGACACTCACATTTGTGTGGTTTTAGACCTGCCAAAATTTTTCCCATTCATTTCTTAAACCTCAGTGGATAGTTCAATATTGCATTGAAATTCATGGAAGCTAGATCTACAAATACTTTGAACTTCCTTACTTCCACTGATTTTTGGAAGGTCAGCATTGAAAAGTAGATGCCAAATCCAATTTACAAAATAGGAAATGAATATCGACTCTGTAGCATCTGTAATGCATCATGGAGTTAAACTAGCAAGAAAAAGGCTTTTGTCTGCACTATGAGCTTGAGTTTGGCCTTATATTTTGGGGATAGTTGTCTTAGGGAGAAGGATGAGGTAGGACAACTGGAAGGTGAAAAGATCTTAAAAGATGGATCAAGGTTTCTCAGGAGATATCTGGCAGTCTACAAAAGCAATTCTTTGTGGTCCTTTGCTACAGCCACTCATGTTGCCTGTGTGCTCATGCACACCCAATGGTATTTGACACAACCACGAGACTAGAATGGTACCCAGTGTTGAAGTAGAGTGAGTACTGGTAGAGTCCTACATGAACCAATGTGGACATTGCATTCTGTATATTTTTCAGACACACATGCAAGCTCAGATTAATGTAAAGTTGTGTTGTGATTAACTAGGGTTGTTAATCATGGCTAATCTCTAAAGATGGTAATTCAGGAAGTACTTTGCCACTCAGTGCTGTTTATGCAGCAGTCACTTACTGAACATTATTCCAGCTGAGTTTGCTGCTTGAATTACACATGGGCCATTCAGAAAGAGTGACCTAGGCAACCCTTCAACTGTCCTTTTGTACCCTAGTTTTATCTCAGTCATCATATTTCAAAGCTGAGCCTCCATCTCAGGTTGATTTTCCCACCCTGGTAGCATCTACCAGAATGGAAAAGGAATGGATTTGTTTTTCAGGAAGTAGCCGCACAAACTCCTGCTCTAGCACAGTTCCCCAAAAGTCAGGCTTCAGTAGATTGCAGCAGTGAAGCATAGGTTGTCCTCTTCAGTGAAGAACTGAAAGCTAAAGGCAAAAACTAGCCTCTTAAGCTTCTCAGGAGCCTTTAAAGTACTGTGTTGAGTGTGACAAATTGTGCCTATACACTTTTAAAAATCTTTTAATATTATAACCTTTATGACCTTTTCACTTTACTGTTGTCTTACAGTCATGCAAATTGGAAGTTTCACAAAGTATGGGGATTAACAATACATGGTTTTCTGTTGACATCAATGCATAACTCAAAAGTAGCTGCAACCTGTCAATGTGTCAATGTGTCAAGAGATAAATAGGGATTTATCTAACACCTGACACCATCAGTGTCAGATGGTACCGTCAGAGTGGAAGATTCTGAGCTAAGAACGGGGCTTGCTTTTCTAGGCACTGATCAAGTCAAGTAGCTGGGTATTTGAACAATTCGAGAGTTCGTAATAGTGGAATAACTAAGACCAGTTCTTTAGTCAAAATTAGCAGTAAGCAGAAAAAGTTATGAACAATACCAACATATGGTGACATTTAATCAATAACTCTTTTGCTTAGAAAAAAATAACTGATGTGGTCATTCAAATGTTCGCTTCATATATCGTTGTCATAAGGTTTATGTAAGCAATCTTAAGACAGAAGAAACCTATTATAAGAAACTTATTATAAAAAACCTATTATAAATCTATAGGAAGAATAACATGCATATTGCAGAGCTGTCTCAATTGCTATCTTTTTTCAAAAGAAAAAAAACAAGAACACTACACGAAGAAGTTGTTGTATACTTCTCATGCTTTCAAACAGTTTTCAGCAGGTGCTCTTTTTTGGACTTGTTTAGTTTTCACTGAGCTCTCTAGAAATCTTTCCACAGGATTAACCATTTGCATTACACACATTTATGTGAAAGAACCACTTAAACCATTTTTTCAGTTGCCTTATACTGTGATATGTGTTAGATAGATGTGCAATTCTGGAGACATCGGCTACCTATATTAGAAGTTTAAAGTTATTTCAATACATCCATGCAAAAGCTTGAATCATGCCCACTTTTCTTGCTTCCTTGTCAGTCTGGGAGGGCTCCATTTTGTTAGGAGGAGCAGTCTAAGGAAAGAGAAGTGTGTGGCACCCAAATGTTTTCTCACAGGAGAAGATTCCTATACATCTACTCTGTAACAGGTAGGCAGCTTACACATAAATAGAGACTAGAGATCAATGTGAAAATCAGCTACATTGATAGGAGAGGAATGTCTTTAGTTTTAGCACCAAGTCGTTAAGAACACTGCTGCATTGTGGCTGGTCTAAACACAAGAGTCTTTGGTTGGAGACAAGGAGAAGCCTATTCCTCATGTGGACAACCCAGCGATGGTGTTGGGGCCCAGAGAGGCTGGTCTATCTCCATCATTGATGGTTTCACAGTTTGACTGGTCAGAGCCCTGAGCAGTCCAGCCTGACCACACCAGCTCAGCAGTGAAGTTCCACAGGTGCCTCCAGCCTGAATTACCCAATGATCCTACAAACAAAACGATACGTACATATACAGACACATATTTATATAGTAACTTTTTCAGTTACTCACAAAAGCTTAAAAAGTTAGATATGTATACATCTATATGCACATTTAAATATTTATATGCATATCTATGCGTGTGGAAGTGTGTACATATACCTATACAAGCACACTGTCTCTTTTCCTCTCTCCCTCTCCCCCTCCCCCCTTTCTCTTTTTCTCTCTCTCTCTCTTTCTCTCTCTCTCATCTGTATGGCCAGGCTTGATGCTGCCTACAGATGTCTTAATCCCTGACTAGACTAGCCCACATCCCAAGAGAGAGCTGTGGGAACACTTGTCAGAAACATTCTGTGCATCCCAAGGGACCAGCCACAAATGTATGTCCTTAGGCAGCCTGTGCTGCAGGGATACCTCACAGTCTGGCCAGACTAATTTTTACTGTGTTCTAAATGACGTTGTTAGGTAGGTGTGGTGTTAATGCAATGTTTTCAGAGTCCATGGTTCTCACTGCAACACAACACCATTCTCAGAACTCCTTTTGGAAGAATCCCTAATCTCATTCATCCACTTTGATATTCTGCTCACTGCAGCTTTTCTTACAGAATGAAGAGGATGAGGAGCAGCCTCTCAGCCTGGCTTGGCCTGAAACCCGACGCAAGCAGCTCACCTATCTTTTTGTGTTTCCCATTGTTTTTCCACTGTGGGCTACCCTGCCAGACGTTAGAAAACCTGTAAGTAACGGTTGTTGCATTATTGCAGTGTGTTCTACACAAAAGGGTAGATCTCTAGCTAAATGCCAAGAAAGTACTGTAGTGGATTTATGTAAAAATAGAGCTAACAGGTTTTTTTTAAGAGTTTCTTCTTTGAAGAAGATGTAACAGTATCAGTCTTCAAACGGCAAATGGGTGCTTATGAGCAACTGGTTGATAATAGCTCTATAAAGACTGTAATTTATATTCATAATATTTTATAACATAAAGTGAAAGGTCTGAGAACTTCTTTGGGGCCTTCACATCTGTATTTCTGAATCTCTACTGAATATCACGTAAGTGCTGAATAAGTCTGTCCATCTTCAGTGCCCTAAAGTATACAACTGGAAAGATTTTAGACTGCCTAAATTTTCTCCTTTTTTAAAATATAAATATATGCATTTCTCTAAAATTCATGTTCTACTAGACATTTGTCTTCTACTTATCATCTTGTAATTTTCATACTAGGACAATATCTGTAAGTCCCTTCATGTGTAAAATACTTGCTAGTTTTGTCCCAAACACAGCTTTAAGTAATGTAAGACTGACAACAAAGGACTTACTGTGACAAGTTACCAAGCCCTATCGGTTTTATACAAAACATATACCTGACTAAGAAGGCTCATGGAAAGTAAAAGAGAGAAATTCAAGAGCTAAAAAAAAACTTTAGTAGTAGTGTTTTAATCTCTTTTCCTTTCTGGATCAAAAACAGGTTTAAAACTGCTGCAAGAGTGGGATGCACAGCATATAAGTCAACATCCTGAATTCTTTTTTCCTTCTCATGCACAGTGAAAAACTTTCCATTCCTAAATGGAAATGCTAAAAACCTGCAATTCAGCACAAGAAAGAAGCTAAAATAAGACCTCTGATTTGTTTTTACATAAAGGTTTTTTAAAGACTAGAAAGTGACATTTTCTCTTCCAATTTTTAAGCTTCCTTTTCTTAAAGATTTCAAACAACTCTGCTAATCACTTTTGTTTGGTAACAGAGAGCATACTAAATGAATGTCAGTATTGTTTATTTCTGTATTTATGCCTTCCTTTTGTCATTCAAAACCACACCTGTAAGTTTTTTTTTCTTAATTTGGTCCAAAATGAATGAGAAATATGTATGGGCATTATTTTGAAAATCTGAAGTTAACATCAGTAGACCTGTAGCTTTATCCAATATTCTGTACTATACAAATGAGAACAGCTTTTTAAATAATTGTTTTGGAAAGTGACTATCTCAACAAGTTGCATGCAACTGTGTGATGCATGTGATTATTACTAGCACTAGTATTGTTCACAATAGAACTGGCATCCTGACATCCTGCAGCTAAAATACCCTGCCATAGCACAGAAAAATAAGCAAAGTTGTATATGCCAGATAGGCAAGTGGACAACAGAGCTTTAAAACTTCATTTGCTGAAAAGAGTAGTTTTTTATAAAAAAAAAAAAATGTAGTTTGCAATTACATGTAGTATTAACAGAAGAGGTAAGAAGCTGTATGAGTATGACAAGCTGCTTACTTTGAACATTACTGTCAAAGAATTAACCAGATGATTGCATAAACTATGTAAAATTTCAAGTATGCTTCATTAGTGTGTCTTTAAAATATTCTCACTTATGTCTGTGTGCTATCCCCACTGATTCCTTCCTAATAAAAACAAAGCCCAATATCACAGTTCAGCATGTGTATCACAAAACAACTTTCATTTAAATCTGTGAGGCAAAAGTTAAAGCAAACCTAAAATAATACTTAAATAGGTTTTTTTTAGGTAGGCCTATCATCAGAGGTTTATTTGCAAGGGTAGTAATTTTAGTCAGAAACCAAAAATTCTGTATCAGGATGCTCAGATTAGCATGAGGATATATAAAGTGAACACTTGTGTGATATATACTTACTGGAAAGACTGTATGGAGCCTTTGACATCCTCTGTGGATGTCCAGTTTTCAAAAAATTAGTTCTTCTTTCCTCGTAGAGTCTCTTTTTGAATGTATATTTTATCTCCACATAATGGAGATGGTTTGCTTGCATTTACTTGTACTATATCAAGCTATATGTAGCTCCATGAAACCTAGAAGCATTAGAAATTTTATTTCATTGACTAGGTCTCCAGTTCTAAAGTTAGCAAAATCCTGCTGCCTTATTATGCTCTGGTGTACACATATGCAGAGTTTTATATACTTAGAGTAGATTATGCATTAGTTCAGCTAACTGTCAGCTGATTCACTAGCTGAGATGTTTTAATGTGTTTAGTGCCTTAATAACACCTGCTGACAATAAGCCAGTATGTATTAAAATCCTTACTATAACATCAATTATGTTGTTGGCAGTATCCTGGAGGTACATATGCCCTTGGGGAATTTTGTACCTAAGTTTTTGTTCAGGTGTTTTGAACAGTAACAGGTATTTTTCCTGTACTAATAGCTCATTTCCCTCATGGCTCTGTAAAGGTCACATGTGTAACTGTGCACCTCCTGCAGTAACAGATATTGAAAGATTGAAAGAAAAACTATGTGACCAAGGTGCCCCAAGGGGGTCAGGAGCAGATATTGAACACCACGTCTTTGGTTATAACCTTACTCCACTGTCCAACCTTTGCGGTACAGGTCAGAAAAATGGCTATCGGGGCTCTGGTCCTGCTGTCACTGGAGTATGGGGGAGTTCACTTTAACTCTGCAAATTCTCATTACAAACAAAGTGTTACAACTTCCATGAACTCTTGTTACCATACAGAGATACACTGTTACTAAGGGGACAAGGACAACATGTTCCTGTACAGATCCAGTTAGAGGAGCCTGTTCTGAGTAATCCATTAAGCACTGTTAAGTGTGAAAGAAAAATCAAACTTTTCAATGCAGATAAATTTATTAACATGACAAATATATGAATCATTCAGGTTGTTAAAGATGTTGGTAATAATACTGGCTAAAATTAAGACAGTTACCTTGCAAATTATTAAGTACTCACTACCTTTCAGGATCAAGCTCTTAGGAGAAAGCCTTCATATTTGGATCATTTTTTCTACTTATAGTCCTGTTTTTCAGACACTGGCATGAAATAAATACAGAAATGTATTAAAAAAAGTGTCCTTAAGGTTACTTATGGACAGGAATAGTACTAATCCATCTAATCTACGATGAAACTAGAAAATACTGTCTCTTTTGTTAAAGGAAAATAGCATACAAACTGAATGAGCCATGGCTTTTCTTGTTTGTCTGCTACCAGGATCACAAAAGAACCAACTGGCAATAAGCTAGGTACTCTGTATTTACAAGGCAACCATAACAACAGCTACCAAAAGAGGTAGAGAGAAATATTGCTGTCTGCTGCCTCTGACCAGTTCTTCTAGGTAAATGCTTAGAACTGGCAGCTCTCTGTATTTCAGAGAGCTAGGGAGTTACAATGAGATATATCTCAAAAGAATGCTGTTACTAGTTACAAAACGAGCATGATTATTATTATACTCTATAATAAAACCCAGCATACAGAAAACGAATCAGCATTCTCATTATGGTTTTTTTAAATTTTCATCTATCTGCAAATCAGATAGCAGCATCTATGGTGTTCACCTCCTTTGGGCACTCTCTAAGACTTTAATATCTTTCCTATATTGTGGTGCCCAAAACTGCACACAATGTTCAAGGTGAGGCCACACCAGTACCGAGCAGAGCAGGGACAATCACCTCTAGAAACAGGACCCCAGAAACTACAGGCCTGTCAGTCTCACTTCAGTGCCCGTTAAAGTTATGGAGAAGATTATTCGAAGTATTGAAAAGCATCTGAAACACAACACAGTCACTGGTCAGAGCAAGCCAGCACAGCTTCACAAGATGAAAGTCCTACTTATCCAACCCTCTTTCCTTTTATGACAAGGTCACCCACCTAGCTGATCAAGGGAAGACAGTTGATGTAATCTTTTTGGATTTCAGTAAAGCTTTTGATATTGTCTCTCACAAGATCCTTTTGGACAAAATGTCCAGCGTACAGCTGGGTAAACAGATCATGCAGTGGGTGAGCAATTGCTCACAGGTCGAGCACAGAGGGTAGCAGTGAATGGGTTAACACCAGACTAGTGGGGTTCCACAGTGCTCCATCTTGGGCCCTGTGCTCTTCAACATCTTCATAAATTACTTGGACGCAGGACTGGAAGGGATACTGAGCAAATTTGCAGATGACACAAAACTGAGAGGAACTGTTGACTCTCTCAAAGGCGGGGAGGCCCTGCAGGGAGACCTTAAAAAATTAGAAGAGTGGGCAATCACAAACCAGATGAAGTTCAATGGGGGGAAAGTGCCAGATTCTGCACCAGGGATGGGGCAACCCTGAATGTTCATACAGACTGGGGAATGAGATTCTGGAAAGCAGTGCTGTGGAAAGGGACCTTGGGGGTCGTGGTCGATGGCAAGTTGAATAGGAGTCAGCAGTGCCCTGGCAGCCAGGAGGATCTCACCATCTGTAAAATGTACAAGCTTCAAATTTTGCCCTTTTTGAGTTTAAATGTTCCCATTTTAAAATAGGTAATTTAAGTGTTAAGCCTATTAAAGTACTCTTAATCCTGAACTGCAGCTTAACAGTTAATTTTAGTGGGAGATGATTAGCTAGGACAGAAGAGGAGTACACATGCTGCAAAGTTACTGAATCATAATTCTTAGCTATCTGAATTACGTGGGTGTCTGATTCAGATAGGCAATGTCTTCTTATTGGGCAAGAACCATTTGATATATATATAATCATAGTATCAGAGAGCTATTACTGGTCAGTACAGCTCTTGTTGTATTAGTTTTGTGTAAGCCAGTGTCTGCTTGTATCTTGAGTGTTGTCAAGTGATCATTCAAATTGCATTGCTACAAGGTGCTCAGTGCAGATTTTATGATAAGTGTATTGCTTCATGTCATTCACCATATATGTTCCCAAAAAATCCCGGTTTTTACAAGGAAGACAAAAAATGTTGTAAGTTGAAAGAGCTGGCTACTAAGAATGGTGAAAAAAAGAGAAGAGCTAGGAGTTTAGTTTTAAAAAAGGAAGTTGCTGTTTAGAATCATCCCTACGAGTTTAGAATCATCCCCTCAGTTCTACTCCCACTGATGTCAGATCACTATTTTAAAAGTCATCTTTGTGTTCATTTCAAATCATGTTCCTTTTCAGACTAAGGTCTTCTGTCCCCCAATGCATATAAAGTTTTCATTTTAAACTTGAAAGTCCATCTGAGTAGGTTTAAACATTATAAGCTCATTGTCTGTAACATTTTTAATATGTGTTCCTATGTATATTCACTTGTGGAGTAGTACAGGCCATGTTAGTCAACGTTTACATTCTCAGGTTTCAGGAGGACATTTAGCATTATGTAAAGTGCACACAGGGAGTGAATAAATATTCTGTAGCACAGACTACAGCTGCACCTGCTTCTGGAAGAGATACAGACCTCCTATTTGTCCCATCCTGTAACTGAGTGTGCACAATTGCCATTGCTGACTTTGTTTTTTCCCACCAGTAATGTCCTGATCTCATTCCAGTTACATCAGCAGAAAGAGTCTACACAGTTTCATTGAGCTGCAGACCAGCCTCAGTGTTTTCTGGTTCAGCTGACAAGACAATGACATTCCTGCTTGACCAGCATTAATGGCCAGCCCAACTCACTGACGACCTCTTAGTCTACAGCCACCCTGTTCTGCCATGCTAATCAGTTCCTAAATGTGAGGCTGTTATATATAAATGCCTCTTGTGTTTGTTATACAAGAAAAGCTGGCTGTGCAGTTCTGCAACTCCCTAAAAAAGAGGTATTTGACATGGCTTGAGCAAGGTAAATTAGCAGTCCTGTTTCCTTTCTTTAGTAGTTAACTCGATCTGTTTTTGTTACATAGATCCTGTCAGTAACAGTTAGTTAGTCAACAGGAAATATGGAAAACCTAAAAGATTGGGAAGAACAGAAACCAAAATAAATCATTAATCTGAGTATAACCAATTCACTGGCTGCAAGAACACTACCTATTCAGAATTTGACATTAGTAAGGGAGACAATGAAAATGAAAATTAAGTTACTTAAGTGTTGCAGAATTTTTAATTCATTGAAGGGTCTCACTGTGTTTTGTATGTTTTGATAACAAATTTCTCTACAAAACAAAGCATAGAAAATATGTTTTTAGCAGATAGAGAGAAGTAAATGCCATAATAAATTTTCAGTATGTATGTTTTTAGCTCTGCCATATGCATTCTTTGTTACACTGATTGTGAAAGGTGTTGCACAAAGTCACTAATGTGTGAAGGAAAGGTATGGGTACCTGTTTTATCAATTTGAAAACATGCATTCTGAATAAGCATGAAATTATTAATAAACTTAGAAGTCAAACCACTGTTCAGCTAAACACATATGCAAACTGCATCATAACAAATTATGATACAAATGACAACCCAAAATTTGCCATTTATCATACAAGTTGTTACGAGGTCTTATTTTATAACTGGAGCGTTTGGAAGAATGAGGCATAGGTAAATATATACCAGTGTAGGAATTCAGTTTCTTACCTTTTTTGAATGTATTTTGGTCATCTAATGATGACCAGAATACTTGCTCAGAACAGGTCATCAGAAGAAATGACAAGCCGCTGTCATTTTGAGAAGCAAATAAGAGTATGGCATGTCGTCCTTCAACACAGGTTTTTACTGTTTCTCTTTGTTTGTGTTTCAGACATCAAGAAAATTTTTTCCTCTCACATTTTTTGGCTCTATTAGCTGGATTGCCTTCTTTTCTTACTTAATGGTCTGGTGGGCACACCAGGTAAGGATGTGATACTGGTACAAAATAAAAGCCCCGCATTATGTTTTGCACTGTGAGAGATCATTTAGAATTAGAGTCCATCATCTCTGTCGTGCTGAGTAGTGCCTTATTTTAGAAGTTGCAACTATGGATGAAGGAAATCACTACTCACAAAGTGGAAAGTAGTTCAGAGAGCTGTGGTTCTCCTATCTACAGGACTTGATCATTCTCGTAACGTGGGAGCTATCACCAACTGTCTGTCAATAACTTATACTTCTATGTGACAGTCTTATCTCTCTCCTGATAGATGTGGAGATGTGTGAAAATTAGTATTTCTTCAATCTTGCTGGGTATTCTTCAAGACAGTCGGCAAGTCCAGGATAATATTCCTGATTAAACAGGTTTACAGCAGAAAATGTTTCTTCACTGCAGGACACTTTTTTTCTGTTTTTCCTTAAACCCTTTTAGGTTGGAGAGACCATTGGTATTAGCGAAGAAATCATGGGATTGACTATTCTTGCTGCTGGCACATCCATTCCTGACCTTATTACCAGTGTTATTGTAGCACGCAAAGGTCTGGGGGACATGGCTGTGTCCAGTTCTGTTGGAAGCAACATATTTGACATCACAGTGGGGTAAGTCCTACAGCAAGAAAATTGTGTCCATTTTAAACAAGTCTTTTGTTGTTAGAACATTGCCATGGTGTCGCCCACAAGCAGCAATCCTTAAAAAGGAGTGATACAAATATTCTATGAATGTTACTGTGGCAAGTGCTCTGAAGTTTATAGACATTTGCATGACAGAATTGTTATTAATTTGTTCCCCAATTCTTGCTTTGATACAATCCAGAGGTGCCTAGGCAAGTGAATTGCATTTTAAAAAGTGAGCAAGAGCATTTTTCCAAGAAGGAATTTCAAAGCTTTTTATGCTTTTGTCAGATTGCTGTTTGCTTTCCATTACCATTCATTTTGCTTATACTAGAGCTTTCTTTATAAATGATGATCAGGAACAATTCATTGCCTCTGCAGTATTCAACATGTTTGCTGTAATAACAACGGAATGTCACTGTTTTGAGTAGCTTGTTTAGGCTGCTGTTGACATGTGATTTATTTTTTTATATATACCTGGCAAGTCCCAAATTACAAAGCAATTCTTTCTTAACAAAAAGCACTCTTTATATAGCTCTTGACAATGTGAAGCTACATGAGATTGTACAGAAATTTGCTATTTACACTTTACTGCTTCACTAAGATGTGTGGCATGAGGTTGGAATTCAAAATCCTTTTTTGACCCTTTGAGACCAAGGTAGATCAGGTCCAGAAATAATGTCATCTATGCCTCAGTATTTGAAAAATGTGTGGGAGTACACAGATATATTCTGTCTTTATTGCCACATTCCCATCTTTAACACTAGAAGACAGAGGTACTGAGAATCATGTCCATACTGTCAGTTTCTCTGCCTTTGGTTGTTTCTTGCTATTACTCAAACAGAAGAGCAGATCTAGTCATAATCAAAGTGCCAAACAGCCTAATCATAGAAGAGATCATGGCTTTTGCTGCTGAGAATATACCAGCAACTGCAAAGTGCAAAAAGGGATCCTGAAGTAGGAGTAGATAGTAAATGTCTGTTTTACTTCATCTGTAAGTGTCAGTACCTTAGACATAGGAAAACTGGGCTCCTTTTTTTCTATTAATCCAGAAGCATGAAGTGTTTGAAATAATATTTATATGCAGAAAACCTGCAAAATATATGAAAACCATGTGCTCCAACTTGGAGTACATAGGGTGCATTACAAAACTTTTCTCTTTTGCAATGCTTTCTTACTTTAAAAAAAAAGTTTAGCCTCTTTCTGCCAATAGAGATGGTTTTGTCCTGCACCAGTCTGCTAAACTTGGTGTATTTACAACAGAAATGGCACAGTTGAGCTGCAGACTGGTGTAGTTAGTACTGCAGCTGTAATAAATTATTCTCTCTTGAGCAGCTTATTTGAAGTTTTAAGGTTGTGAGCTTCTGACAACTCACTTCACGCTTTCTAAGCCTGCTAAGCTCCAGTCAGTGTCTTAAATATTTATTTCAGCTTGACATCTTGCAAAGGGATATTACCTCATACTGTGGTTTGAGAGATGAGAAATGCAATGACAGCAAACACAGAAATAAAAATTAAGCTGAAGTTCAATTGAAGTTCATATTTGAACACAGGTTTATACAGTAAATGTGGATTTAAGGGCCAAATTTCAGACATTTAAGGACCAAATTTTGTGGACAGCGTCTTGCAGAGTGCCATTTCTTCATGGCAAGGACATGTTTTTATGTAACCCATCCCCCTCTCATGCATGCTCTTGGAAAGAGAGTGTGCATAGCTTCTCCCACAGATGGTGTGAAATCCAGAAACAAATGAAAGAGGTCTTCCTGCTCACAGATAGGATGCCAGTTGATTTGCAGCCAAGGGAAATACAGTTCACCAGTGTAACTAGTGGAAGAGTGGGGACCGTAAATCCCATGTGTTCTCCCCAAGAACTATGACCAAGTTGACAGGTTAGATTTATGTACATACTAGAAGAGCTGAAACTTTTCCTGCCTCACTTTACACAGGAAGCCTCTGGTTGTATTTTGAATTGTCTCCAGAAACTTTCTAGTGCCTCTTTCTGGTCTTCTGTAATTTTTTAAACTATTTTTTCTGTTTCTTAACAGCCTTCCTCTTCCATGGCTCCTGTATGCTGTGATTAACAGTTTTGCCCCAGTGGCAGTCAGCAGCAATGGTCTGTTCTGTGCAATTGTCCTCCTCTTCATCATGCTGCTCTTTGTCATCCTCTCCATTGCTTCCTGCAAGTGGAGGATGAATAAAATCCTGGGTTTCCTCATGTTTGGGCTTTATTTTGTGTTTCTGATTGTCAGTGTCCTCCTGGAGGACAAAGTGATCCAGTGTCCTGTCTCCATCTAGTGGAAAGTGCTCGACAAAAAAAAACCCAGAACATACGTATTTATCAAAGAAGAAATATGTGTACCAAAACAAGACACCAAAAAAAAACCACAGTGGAAAGCTTCACTGAGGATAACCCATAGATCTGTAAATTTCCTCTTCCTTGATTTTAAAAGAGTGAAAGAAAGAAAATTACACAAAGGGTGGATCTAGGAGCTGAAGAATGACTGCGGCTGGACAGTGCAGTTACACATGAAGGGCTGAGTTAAGCTGCACTGAGGTTTTCTTTGCTGCACAACATTCTCGCTGCCCAGTACTGGACACGCTACGCACGCACGGAAACAGTGACAGTTACTGCTTCTCCTCAGCCTGTGGTTCTCTGTAGTCGTATACACAGACACACAGCGTGCTCAGTTCTTAAGGCTCTCCTCTTCTAAGGAGAATGCTGATACTAACTTTGTGGAGGCACCACCCCCCCACATACCCTGGTAACGGGATTTTTCTGATGATCTGCTGAAACTCCTGAATGGAAAGCGTACACCGAGTACATGAGTCACAGATGGGGAAGAGCTTGTATGTCTCTTCATATGGGTGGATTTGTATGATGTGATTTCAGCAAAGCCAGTGAATTCATCAGTGTTTTGATCATCTGCATCACAGGTCTGTAAAGGCAATCAGCAGGATGCTAATGGTGGTTTTTTACATCTTGCAAAACTCTTCAGGTTCCAGAAACTCTGTCTCTGGCACTGAAGGAGCCACGATGCCTGACCATTTTGTAACTGGTGCAGATTTTCATTGCATTCTCATGCAAAGACCAGAATGGGGATACTCTTTCTTCTCTAATAGCAATGCAGCATGCAGTGACATCATACAGCTATGTGAACACACCATTTTTTCTAATGCAGCAATATTAACAGTACCAATGGCTTTCAGATGCTGTTATGAGTTTGCCTTTTCATGCCAGAATAAAAAGGCTAATTTGCTTATGCATAGTATATTATACAGAAAATAGAAGTAAGTAGTTATAAAGTGGCAGCCTAATTGCTAAGTGAATATATATTTTACAGGCTTTCACTAATACTTGGAGTGTAAGGACCTTCACAGCTACATATAGTTATTGCTGGAAGAGATTCCCAGCTGTTGTACAAAGCTGGGGCAATTCACATTTGCTGTTATAAATCTTGAAACTAGGTAGGAGAAACACAATTTAATTACAGTGGAGCTGCAGGAAGCTTACATGAAAATTCTTCGGTATTGCTGGAAGTGTAAATATCTAAAGAAGCCCAGGAATGAGTGAAAATGCAACATCCTTTTACTGAAATATTGAGAGAAGGAGAAGGTCCAAACCTAGAACAAAAAAATAAGAAGGGAGAAAACAACTAATGTTCATCTTCCTTGGAGTTTGGATGATTTTTTTAAAAATGGGAGGACTGGAATGGGTGTTAAGAAATTATTTCAAATAATCATTCGTTTGTTCAAGTCTTTTGTGCAGTTAGAGTTCATGAAGATTCAGTGCATTTCTGTGACCTGTTTCAGCATTGTTTTATATGCATATTGTGCTCACAATGGCAATGCCATGCTCACAGCTGTGTAACAGAAGGCTCAGCACATTTTGTCTTGTCAGTTTTTCTCTGCTCTATGCTGTTTGTTTCTCACTCATCCTCTTTGTCCTTTACTGTTTTCCTGTTATATGTGTTTGTGTGTAATGGTATATGGTTAGTGAGTCAGGACTTGACAGAAAACAATGGTAGAGAAAAAAGTACAAAATTCATATTAGGAATATTAATATTATGTGATATCATGAAGAAAAAAGTGAGATAATAATGAACAAAATGAAGGAAACTAGGAGTTACAATGGCTGCTACTCATATATTGTCCTAAGGTATTAAGTCCGACCTACATGCGGAATCAGTATTTAATCTTATCCAAACATTTGCAACGTCTCTTGCTCTTTTAGTGCTTTTTAGAGTGAGCGTCTCTCATTGTGAGCAAAAACTTGTCGTATTTAAGATCCTTCATTGCTCCAGAATCCTTACCTGTCTTAACGATAGTGCTACCCACCTCTTTATCATTTGTTCCTGGGAGTGTACACTATGGAAAGTAGGTGTATTTACATACCTGCGGTGCCCTCTACTGACAGGAACAGCAACCTTGCTTAAGCAAATCTATAAACCAATATCTGAGCTCAAAAGAAGCATGTGTCTCAAAATACAGAGCTGACTCCACAGTATAATCTATTCCAGAGGAGTCAGCAATTGCTTTTATTTCTGATGACAATGCTCAAAACACGCAATCTTTTCCCAAGTGAGCAGAATGAGAGTGATCTGAAGGAGTGTGTGCAGGATCATGAGAGGGCTGTGTATATGGGAGTGTACAAAATACTAAGATGCCCAGATTCACTGATCCAGATTCACTGATCACTTATTTCAAATAAAGAAACTAGTCCGAAGTCTGATCTCTGTTCAGGACATTACTTCATTACCCTTCCCTTCCCTTTTCTTTTTTTCTTTTTTTTTTACTGCATGCCAGTATGGTGTAACAACTCCCATACTGGAAAGGAAAAAGCCCTACCTGACCTTCAGAGCTGTAAGAGCACTCTGATGCACTCTGCAGAGTGGGGGCAGGTAGGAAGAAGAGAGTAACTAATTGAAAGCTATACACAGTGGGAATATTTCAGTCCACAACAGGCATCAACAACTTAAAGGAAGACTTTTATGTATAGGGTTAAGGACTGGTATCCTGTAATGGCAGTTGTATACTGTCTTAAAATGTATCTCATTTCTTTCCCATTTCTGCTTGTCTCTATCAACATATTTATCTTGCAAGGTATTAAAAATAAGTTTTTCCCCTCTAGAATAAGACACCTCATGGCTCCCACTGCCTTGCATCTGTTGGGCAGTGCAGTCAGTGGTAGCTCAGCTCCAGAGGTAAAAGGACAGATTTCAGTTGTGTGGTGCTTTCTATGGAAACAGGCTGTGAAAGATGGTTCCACTTACAAAGGCAGCTTTCTGCTGCTGTGGTAAAATGTTTAAAGATACTTGCATGCCAATGTGCTCTGATAACAAAACAACAGCTGTGCTGGCTGGTAGAGAAAAGAGAGGAAGGGGATGGAGAGAGAAGCTTACTCCCTTATCCTGTGCAGGAGGTGTTCAATCTTTAGCTGGAATGCTGAGTGAACAGCCAAGAGCTGCTGCAACACAATGACTGGATGTCCATGAGCTGTCCAGGCTCAGTGCTGCCAGAAATGCACACCACCTGTTACAACACTCCTATTTTACAGTGGCAGCAAATTTACCAGCATTAAGTGTTTCTCATTGTTCATAATTATTTCACTGTGTGATCATGAACATTTCTCAGCATTGCACACCTAGAAGTCAAAATTCAGTTTCTATTTTCTTAAAAGTTCTAAATGATTTCACTAGGGATCTGGTTCTGCACACTGCCCAAATTCTACAGTGAGTTCATTGGTGTTGAAGCCTCTTCCACCTGCCTGTATGCCTGTGCTCACTTATTCAATTGGTGTTGCTGTCTGCATAATCCTTATCAAGAATAAATGAATAATTAAGAGAAAAATTGGTGTTATTATAAGGATCCTGTTCTAGCTTGGCAACACAGTAAGTAAGGTAAGAATGCAACTTCAGATTAAATAGCCAACTCTCTGTGGCACCATTATCTCTGAACAGAACCAATACTGGATGTGATTTTTGGAAAGGATTTCTGGTAGTATTTGAGTAGGATCATGGTTCAGATTGTAACCTATTGTAAAGGTTTTCTGCACTAACTTCATTGGAATTAAATATGAGAATGGACCCCACTGGTACAAAATACCATTGGAATCCTACAACAATTCTCTGTTTTACACTCACTCACACACACACAGACACACAGACACACACTCACACAAATAAAAAAAAGAAAAAGCTGCCTTCCCTCTGCAGAAGCCACCCTGGTCACATCTGTAGGGTAAATGCTATAAAAGTGTGATTGAAAGTGTGGTATGAGGATGTTCTCCTCACGAACTACATGTAGACATGCAAAAATCTTTCAGCAAAGATCTGTGGTTTCTAAATTAACTTTTTTACTGAAAGGTATTGCTTTCTTGTAGTGCAAACAGGCTCTTGTGTCTGTATGCTTCTGCTTATGTATCCAATTGATGTGGCTGACTACATAAACTTCATGAAGCATAAAAACACAGCAGGTGACAAGGAATCTTATCTAGATGTCATTTAATGTTTGTAATGGCAGTGAACCTACCATGTAATTTCCACATATACTACTTCGAAGTAGTTTATGGTCACTGTCACTCATGGTACTGTTGTGTGTGGATATGAAGGTCCACAAAGCGGTAAGTTAAACATGTAGCTAATCTGAGTACAGTGAAAAAATAGATGCTTAGAAATATTATTAATGTTTGGGTGTTTTTTAAGGGATTATTTCTCTGGTTGTCTTTTACTTCATTATGTATTTTGCAAAAAAGGGGATATACAGTGTTTTCTAATTAGTATTCTTTCAGCAGTAATTCCTTAAAATAGCATCTTATGGTCCATATAACTTTTGTTCTGAATCAAGTATGAGTCTGTATCAGATGGTTTTATAACAAAGAAATAATCCCTTCTCCAACAACTGGCCCAACAAAATACAGATTTCTACCATTAACCTGGACAAGATAGAGACATTTATCTTAGGATCCCATATTTCACAAATGCAGTTGCCTAACAAACCTAATTGTCCTGGGAGCTATGTACAAAGAGAAAAATTGCATTCACTTGTATTCTTGGAAACAATTTTACTTCTTGTAAAATACAATGACACAACTATCTGAGAAAGAGTCATAGTTTGAGCAGCTGATTCTTGTCTTCCTCCTATTCCTGGAAAGTGAAATTGAAGAGTTTGTACCTGGAAAAATACTTGCAGAAAGTGCACTCAACAGTATAGAGAGAAGTCCTGCTCCAGTCCTCCAACAGGGATGAGTTTCATTCTTGGTTGATGTTAAAATTACCCTTCTTAGGTCTGTTGCCATCAGTTACAGGAATATCAGTATTTCCACTGGGACTGGGGAGACTAACTTCCAAATTGAAATTACACAATTCAGTGTAGCCATCAGATACAAAATTCATTTATGGATCACAGTTCCATAGTCCAGACAAGTCATCCTGTAGATCTGCTGTGTGTTGCTAGAGGTCAGTGTATGGCATCTCAGGACTTGTCTGCTTGGATGGGTGCAGCTAGTTTGCGCTTTCCCATGCCGATGCGCCTGCCTGACTGGATGCAAGCCATATATTCTCCAGAAGCCATGTAATCACATTAGCATGGCACTGAGCCCATGCTCCAGCCAGCCAGGTGCAGGTCAGCCCCAGCCTAGAAGCCACATAACCACTTGGAGTGTGGGTAGACCAGACACACACTTGGCCACATCGTTCCCACGTGAGCCATAAGTGAAGTGGCACAGGACAGGATTGAGTAATTCAAGACTAGTAAATGTACTGTACATTCATGTAGATTTATTGTAAATTTACCACTCATCAAAGACAAAAACAACCCCAACAAAGAAATTTGTACACATTTTTAAAGATCTTGCACTTTACTATTTTTTTTATTTTTATTTTATGTCACATAGTTGTCTTAATGCAAAAAGAAGCCATAAAAAACCCAGAAGACTAGTATGGGCTTTCTAAATAAGGGGATCATTAATTTTAAAGTAAAGAATCAATTTCATGTCTCTGTTTAAGGTCTAATGTAAAATACTGACAAATAAATGTACAGTAAAGCAGGATCTGGTTTTGCCTTAGTGAAGCTGTGAGTAAGTCAGGGGGAGTTTGCTCCTCATACTCTTGAGTTTTCCTGTGGGGCTGTACAAAATGCTGAACACTACCTTTGCAGCAGGGAATCAGTCCTGCCATGCTTGTTCCCCCCAGGAAAAAGTCAGGCCCAATGAAACAATTAAATCATTCTACTACTCCAATGTTTTCTCCCACTGAGATCACAGTAAAGGAAGTTCCTTATGTTTTAGTACGTTTATGAGAGATGAGTTAATTCTATCACTTTTTCCTGAAGTTTTCAGAGTCAGATTATCCAAGAAAAAAATCAACTATTTCATTTAATCCCCCGTTAAAATCACATAATGCCAAGGATTTCACTTGGGTTTGTGTTCATTTCCATTATCAAGATCTCTGTTGCACAGTTCTAATTTTGCAATCCTGACTCTGGGGAGTTGACTTAAGTGAGTTGAAATTATTTCTGTCACTTAAGATGGCAAGATCAGGACACTGTATTGTCATGTGAAAATACTAATGTGTTATAACTGACAATCAGATGCTATTTTTCTAATACAGCTTTTTTAGCTTGTTTACTCCACTTTTTAGTTTTCACACTCCATAGTCTCTCATTTTCAACTTATTGTAAGAAAAATCTGAAGTCCCCCATCTTTACTCATTTCAAACTTTAAAAGAAAAAATACATTGCCATGTACTTTTTATTTTGCAAGTCCAGGCAACGCCCTGAAAATTCCAGTTTTTCTCATGTGTATGGATCATTATTCACTAGATGAAACTCTTTTATCTCTGAATCAGTATATGCTCTGTGAATATAAGTTTGTATATAGTATGGAAGTTACCTTTATTTGTACATAGACTCTTGGAAATAATCCCTTCTATCAAAGATCCTACGTCATTGTATCTACAGAATATTTCACTGTGGTGTGTACACTTTCTCACCTTATGATAACAATACAGAGCTCTTCATATAAATCACTTTATGTAATTGAGTTGTCTAAGTGTGAATAACAATAACAACAATAAACACTAATAAAAAGACTGAAGAGTGTGTCCTTTTGCTCATTATCTTTTGTCTTAATTGTCTTGGACTTGCTGGGGCTCTGAAAATAGTATGTTAACTACCTGCTCTGCGTTGAATGATGATCTGCAGTGCTACTCATCATTATCAGTGTTCAAGCAGTGCTAATTGCCTCTTGCCATTTCACTGCTACCTTCTGTGTATACACAGAGTAAGGAAAACATCTGTGTTTCAGTGAGCTTAAAATTTAGTTAGACAAGGATTTTTCTTGTACAGACGAATGTGAATACAAACTTCCTGGAGCTGTGTATGTCTGAAGCCCTGTGGTTCTGTCTGGGGTCAAGTTCCCTAACATTTCTTTACTGATATGTTTGATCACAAGTCGTTTTGAATGCCATTCTTTAGTTTGACACCTTGTATAATCTTCAGGTTGCACAGTCTGCTGTGCTTGCCAGCTAGGCATTCTTTTTAGTCTGTCATTGAATGAATTATACTTTTAAACAAAGTAATGATCTTCAGTAAATGAAAGCAAAAGAGAGTCAGTAATGCTAAAAATTTCCCATAATCAACCAACTTTTCCATCTTCACAAGTTTTAAAAGGTTGCAAATGGACATTATTACTTAATATTTCTCCCACAGTAGCTCCAGGAAGACATCCTCCACAATGAATTAAGGAATTTTTTGTGAGGCATTGTGCCAACCCTAAAGGTTTGATCTCAGGACAGAGATTTTTCATTCACCTTTAACCATTCTAGAGCTTTAAAATTTTAGATTGGAAACAACAAAAGAAATTTGCAGGTAGACTAGATGTTGAGAATGATGATTGTCCTGAGAGATTCATGCCTGCCAAATGGGAAAAACAAGGTCAAGCACATCCTAAAAAAAACAAAGTTGGCAGATGCTCCAAGTTACAGAAGCATAGATGCTTTCAAAGAGATAGAGAGTTGGAGAAAAAGAAAGGCTTTGTCTGAGAAGTGAACATGGATACATACACACACATATACACACACAGCCATTCACAGCTCTGCTTTATGGGTGTGTGTTGTCTTACCCACTGCTTGCTAGCATTTGACCTCTTCCTCAACTTCAGCAACTTTTGAAAGAAAGTAGAGTATATTAAAACCTTCAGTACCACAGCAGGCCTTAATGGTATATGACTGGTGTGAGCAGAGGAAAGAGAAAAAATATATTAAATATCCACCACAGGAGGAATGAAGGCAAGTTTCCTTGCCATGTGTTTCCTCATACACAGGCAAGTACTTCACTGCCTTACCTGTAGTCCCTGAAAAAACATTCACTATTACTTTTTTCATTTACAGGTAGTTGTATCTGGAGTGTTTATTGACAAGAAGAAAAGTGATATGTGTGTTTAAATTCAGTTAAAACTTCCCTTTCCTGGAAAGGCTTCAGAGTTTCCCTTTAAAACAGGGAATTCCCTTCCTGTTAACACCTATTTCAGAGAAATAAATATTTGTGCCAGAAACTTACAGAAAGTAAAGACAGATAGACTACAGATTATAGGTCTAAAGAGATGTTTTATCATCCCTTCATCTCTTTATTTATGCAGATTTTCTCATCATGGTTTGAAAAACATACATTTGTTGTGAACAAGGGTGTTTTTTTTTTCAGCAAGGTGATGAGGTACTAAGAAATTAGTTGTAAATCTACAGTATTGCCTCTGAGGCATCAAACCCAAACCAGACCATTTCTTGCAAGCTAAATATGAGGCTCGTAGGCAGAGAAGTTACAGCAACCTGTAAGGTTAAAGTACACGAAACTGGATATTTAAGCAACAGTTTTACAAGGATCTTTAAATGAACAAGAGGTGTCCCACAAAGCTTTGGGTTAATTGCAAACACTTTTTTCCTGTTCATCAGCAATGATGAGTAAATACCAGTGCTTTGCTACAACTTTCCACTAACTCTTGCTATAAATGTGTGAAATTGCATATGCTGATTCTGCAACCCAGGAGGATTGCCTGCAGTTGGGCTGGGTCAGAGGAGGAGGAGGTCTGGCTTGGGCTTGCTGTCTGAGGCAGAAGACAAGGTGGGACGGTATGTTTGTGTGTACTGCCTAGCTTGGGAAAACACGTCACTTCACTGGAGTTTGCATTTCATGCTGTATTCCAGGGACCCCTCCAGGGCAGGAGGGGAAGACAATGAGGAAAACTGACAGAAAAATTATCAGTTACAATTTATGTCTAAAAGGACACATAATAGAGTGTTTTCCTTCCTGTCTCTCTGCAGCCCAATATAATTGTATTGTAAAATGAAGGAATTACAACCCTGAGTAACATGTCCTAGGGGGCAGAGGCTGGACTAGATGACCCTAAGAGTGGCCCCTTCCAACCCTACCCCCACTGTGATTCTGTGATTCTGTGAATGGTGTAGTGCACTGTTCCATAACAGTGAAAACAACAACTGCTTCCACTGCCCCCTCCTTGCCCCTGCCTATTTCCTATTCTTTGTTATTAACTTGGTTGAAGAAAAAGGGAAACTACTTCCAGAATTTTCAAAGTGTCTGTTAAGCTCTGGACCTACTCTTGTCTTCATGTACTGTCTGCCTGCTTTGATTATATGCCATATTGCTGGTCAGAATTTGCCTCTGATGGCAATGACCATTTCTTGCTAATTTGGTATCTGCATTTTCATGACTAAGGAACTGTAGCCTGATGCTCTGCAACCATGAAATACTGCTAGTTAAACTAGCTCTAAAGAGTTTGACTTAATATCACAACATGCAACACTATTCAAGAAAAATCAGTTTGAGTGTTGAAAACATTAGCTTATTTCAGGCTAACGTGCTGTATTGTTCATTTTTGCCTCTGTCAAAAGCGTTGATAAACCCATTTTCTGTTATATTTTATAGGCAATTTTAAAAAAATTATTCCCCAGAATCCAATGTACTCTCCACTCAGAACAATGATTTTCAGCAAAGCTCTTACCAGAACCTGACTGAGGAAGCAGTTCTTAAGGTTTGCAATTATTAATATACAATTTTCCCAAAAATAAATTTCCTGAACAACTTTTCTTCACCACCATCACCTGTCCTGCTAAAAACCCATTTAAAACATGCCAGGGTATTGTCCTGAGAAGAGCCAGGACAAGCATGGTGGAGGCAAACCTTCCTTGTATTCAGACCTGCTTTTACTCCCCTGGTCCCCTTCATACTCCTGTCCTCTCTCTTCCTCACACTGCCCAGCATCCCAAATAATTGCTGTCACAAGCAGTGACCCCACTCGTGGAGGCAGGTGATGCTCAGAGCTTCATGGTCTCAGGTCTTTTTTACCATCCTAAGGGCCAGGCAGCAGGAAGGACCCCCATTTGTAAGTAAATCCACAGCCCTGGTGGGCTAAGAAACAGTCTAGACATAACTCAGGTTCTCTGTTTGAAGTTTTGTTTTATATATTCCTGGGGTTTTCATCTTTTTTTCATCTTAATTAGTATCTCAGTAGGCCATTTGTGCTTTTGTAACTCATCATACCCCTGAGAGAAGGGTGGTTTTGCTTACAGAGAATAGCAGCCTAAGGGACTAACGCCAACATGATGCTCCCTCAGGTTCATTACAGGTGCTGCCAGTTTGCCCCAGCTGGCAGCACAACTGACACCACTTTTAACCGTCTGTGGTATCATGTGGCAGCTGAACACAGAGTGGCAAGGTCAGCTCTGCAGGCACCATCGGGCATCATGGAAGGAGCAGAGAGCAACTGGCATAAGCAGGGCATCCTCAGTCATTTCCCAGTGGGTTTGTGCAAAGTCTGGACACCAACAGAAAGGTGATGCTATGTACATGCACTCACTGCTGCACCTGCTCTGGTGAGCTCTACCACTCCTGCCTTACAGAGGGAAGTTGGAAAAATGTATTGGCATAAAGGTGCTTTGGCACCTATTAGAGCTTGTCTAGAGCTGCTAAAGTCACAGACCTCAACATGCAGGCCTTGTGAAGTGACATTCTGGGAAGGGGCAAAAACATTAAAATCTGCTAGCCACGAGGACTGCCACAAACTGCATGGCAGAAGTGGTGGGCACAGTGAAATCACAGAAAGGCACTAGTCTTGGGAAATATTAAGGGAGGTGGATGGATGGAAACACAAACAGGTCATGTCTCAGTGCATGAAAGATGGCTTATGTGGATTAATAACTGATGCTAGCATGGTTCCTAAAGTTCTTATTTTCTTGGAATTACATTAATACTGAGTGTCTGGTAGCAGGTGTCCTTGTGGACATTTGCAGGCAATTATCTCTGCTGACAACAGGGAGATAATAATAAACCTCCTAATGCAGGAGAGAACAAGGCACAAGCAAGCAAGCACGCACATCAAGCAGGGCAGTATAACTCATTGTGTCCTTGTTCCAAATATATACTTCTCTTAACGTTACAGCAGCTGTTCTCCTCCCCAGCCAAAATCCCTGCTGTTCTTCCTTGAAAAAAAAGCATCCTCCTCTAGGCTGATTTCAATTCTGAATGTAAAGAAGAAGGGCAGTAATAGAGATAATAAAGAGTGCAGAAAATACTGACTACACTTGCCAGTACAGGGCAAGTGCCTAAACAAAGCTCTAGGTTTCTCTAGGCTCCTGCACCAGTCCCAGGTAGAGCAGCTGGGCTTTGCCTTTCATAATGAACTACGCAGGGGGTGGCTTTTCACTTAGATTGGCACAGTGAACTTCCTCAGCCTCACCATATGCCTAAGAGCTATGGATTGTGTTTTGCTTCTACACTAAGAATTCAACAGATTTCCTTCTACTGTTTACTATGTATCCTGGTTGTATGCCAAGTAACAGAACGTATCCCATCATTTCTGAGGAAGGGATGGTGCAGGTCTCTGCACTTGCACGAGGGCTTTGGGTGAAAGCACACATCTGCTCAGCATTCAGAGCTACACAAAATCACTGTGCAACCTGCAACCTGCCAGCAGGCTGCAGGGAGCAACTTGTCCATACTGGTTGCATCTGAAGGCATGGGCCTTGCTGATTTTTCCTCTGTGGACCACCAATGAGTCGGTAGCACAGTGAAAGAGGCATTGATGTCTTTGAGAAGCTTGGAA